CAACAAATCTTTTCAACTTAGTGTGTACCTTATACTTATTTTGAATGGTTTCTCTCTTAAAATATAGATATATATAAATTCTTTTGATTTAATAATTGCAACAATAATAGTATGTTCATACTAGGAGGAGATGGAATTCATGTTCATGTTCTGTCAATTGGTTACAATTACATAAACACTTCTACAATGCATTGCATGAGAAAGATAACCGTAGGAAGTCCCGAGGGAAATTCTTCTTGACTGCACTCATCTGCAGCTTTGCTTGGTATGCCTTCCCCGGATACCTCTTCGAAATTCTGACATCCATTTCTTGGGTCTGCTGGGCATTCCCCAAGTCAGTAACTGCCCATCAGATTGGATCAGGCATGAACGGACTTGGCCTTGGATCCTTTTTTCTAGACTGGTCAACCATATATATCCTCTTTCCTTGGCAACCCTCTCATCACCCCTTCCTTCACCATTGTCAACATCCTTGTAGGCCACATTTTAACACTCTATGTCATCATTCCCATTGCTTATTATGTGCTAACTACCTACAATACCCAAAGATTCCCCATCGTTTCTTCGGATTTGTTCAATTTCAAGGGAAAAGAATACAATATTTTATCCATTATGAATGACAAGTCAGAAATAAACTTGTAATATAATATAAAATAATACTGAAGTTGATTGGCCCTTACTGCTCATATGAATGCATTTTTCATATGAGCAGTATGGGCCGATTAACTTCAATGTTATCTTATATTGTATTAAAAGTTTATTTCTGACTTGTCATTCAGAATGAATGAAACATCATATTCTTTTTCCTTGGAATTGCGAAGGGAATCTTTGGGCATTGTAGGTATTTAACACATAATAAGCATGGAATGATGATATAGAGTGTTAAAATGTGGCCTACAAGGAACTTGAAAATGGTGAAGGAAAGGGTGATGAGAGGGCTGCCAAGAAGAGAGGATATGGTTAGTCGGAGGAACAAATCGTGCCAATGGATGTGTTCAGTGGTGAGAATGCAGCCGAGTTAATCATGGAGGAAGTTAACATAGAATGCAGCCAAGTCAACACCTCCATGTCAATTGATATGATTTGATTGTGATTGGCGTTCTCAATTGATATGTTCTAACAAAAAAAAAAAGAAGAAATAAATGCATTTAATTAAACCAGAAAACAAATATATATGGTGAAATGCAAACAGCAGAATGTGCTTGCGTTTTATTAAAAAAAAAGGCAATGTCTCACTTTTATGAAATCACAAGGAAATACAAGAAAAATTTAACCTTAGACTCGTGACCAACTGGAGAAATCACCGAACAGAGCCGTAAATTAAATTGTAAACTAATTTTTTTTATGAAGTCACAGTGACCTTTATATAAACAGGCTTTTAATTTGTTATTAAATAGAAAGTGTATCCTGTATTCTAGATTGTTTTCTTCAGCATGATGGCTCGAAAATTAAACAACCATCAGCTTCAAGTATTAGCATTTCCTTCATTCAAGGAATTGATTTTCGCGAGAATAGTATTACTGGTTTAGTTGGGCCAAAAACAGGAAAAAGATTACTGGTTTAGGGTTACTGGTCAAGGAATTGAAGCAGCACTCAGAAAACGAAAAAACCTTTACTTTAAATCTACTACTGATCAATAACCCTGTGCGAATCAGAATTTACAGAGAACTAGTGGGCATCTACGGGTCAAATTCGCCGATTTCTTCGAAATATTAAAAAATAAATAAATAAAAATCTTATCTTGTTGGATTCAAAAGAAAAACTCGATCAACACAATGCAACACAACCCATTCTACAACTAAATTGCAAGATTTCATATCAAATCAAAAGAAAAGTAGAAACATAAGAAAAGATGGTAACTCACCTATGCAAGTGTAGTTCGCGAAGTTGAAAAAGGAGCCAGAGAAAGATTAAAATTAGGATTTAGTAATGAAGATGAAGGAGAAGAATGGCTGGGATGAGGAGAGGAGAAGGGATTCAGAATGTCTCCTTCATCCCTCAAATTTGGTGAAAGTTAAGTGCTGTTTGGAAGAAATTTGGAGAAAGGGAAAAGGGCACGGGAACAAAAGAGATTATGATGCCTAAAACTCAGATTATGATCCCCCATTTATACTATCGGCTCTCTCTCAAAACTCCTCCCCTAAAACTCAGATTACAATCCCTATTTATACAAAGAAAAAGCAAACCCTAATCCTCTACCCCTCCTGATCACCGTTGATCTTCATCGCTTCTCTCGCTGCCATAGATCTAAAAAATTCCAAGATTGATCTGAGCGAAGACAGCTGCACGATTCTGGAGTTCCTGTCGTGGCTTCTTGAATGGGTAAGGGAATCGATACCATTGCCTGGAATGGAGAGTGAGGACAGAGGGGAGAACGCAACTGTGTTTGGCCGAAAGAGGAATGCTGATTACCAGTGGAACGATCACGCGAAGAAAGAGAGTAAAGGGACTGAGATAAAAGATACTTTTTGAAATAAAATCAATTACAGTACGTAGACCAACATTCTTGTTGAAGTTTTGTAATCGGTTTCCCATTTCCAGTCTAAAAAATTGAGTTACGTGGTTATATAGATGAGCCGAAAATAGGGGGTTAGAGCGCGACGGAGCCTCTAGACATTTTTAATTTTAACTTCTTTGGAGACGTCGTTTCAGTGATGGAGTTTGGCTCAGCCCATGACTTCTACCGCGTGACACTTTGGTCCTCACACTCAGTTTGTGTTGCAGTCAAGTCCTTACAAATTACAAAACAAAACCTACGTCGTGTATTGTCATTTGGCAAAAATTTGAGTTATGGACCACAGCAGGTTGGGCAGCCCAAGACAAATCGGTGATCCATTTTATCTATATTTGGTGCTCTGTTTTCATAAGCTACTTTTTCTCAGTTTCAATTAAAACATTATAGTTTCATCTAATAGTGGAGGCCATTTGTATGGATTGAGAAACACATACTAGTGGTATGGGTTCTTTTTTAACTCATAAGATAAAAACGTGTAAGTTCTCGTTTCTAATTTTATGGCCCTAACTAATAAAGAACAAGAACACCCCAAATCGGTAAATCCTCTCGTGAGCCTCTGGGCCCTCAACTCCCTTTCCACTCAATTCAACAGCACTCTCATTTCCCATCACATGCTCTCTAAAGTATTCTTTATGTTACCAACTTAAAAGACCATTATGTTGAGAGTTTTTTTTCTTTTTCTTTTTTGATAATAATATAGTTATGTTATTTTTTTTTCAAAATAATTATTCGTTTTGATTTTAAGTTTATCCAAAATTAGTTTTTTTTTAAGTAGATAAATATTTTTTTTATTTTAACCTTATTATTATTTATTTATTTTAATTAGTTATTCTATCACAAAAGTCTTATTGGTATGTTTTAACTTTTAACTTTTTCTTAATGATAATACAAATAAATGTATAAATAGTTTTTATTTTTTTATTTTAAAGAAGTAAAAAAAAAAAAGCATTTATTATTGGAGTTGGCAGCTAATTGAATATATCTAATCTTGCAATTATACATACATAGTAATTATATCACTTTTTACAATACATTATATGAAAAATATATATTTTAACTTTGATATTTTTGTTTTTTAAATGAATAATAATAAATGAGACCAAAATCTAAAATTAATGAAGTGATAAAATATTAAAAGTAGATCTTATATTATTTAATAATTAATTTTTTTATTTTTTATATTATAATATTATATATATCAATTAATTTAATAATATAATTTATACCCCATTATTACTTTTAAATTTTTGTTCGAAATTTTTACCCCCCTATCATTACTGTTTTCAAATACCTATGAAGACTTCTTCACTACCACGTTCAAATAAGTCAAATAAAACTTAAAGTAAATTACCTCACACTACAGGACCAAAATAATCAATGACTTCATCCCAAACCATCTTTGGAATTCCGATAACCAAAACTACTCCAATTCACATCCACACTAGCTCTAAAATAGGAACCCTTAATATTTTCAAAACCCATTAAATCCAATAGAATGTGAGAAAAACGTGCTCTCAAGCAAATATCTTATCCTTTCCTTAAAAAGAAAAACATTGCCTTCTAATTCTAAAGACCTC